CAGTGGCTTCACTGCCATCTCTGAGCAGCAGAAGGGCAGGTGAAGGAGTAGGTTAAAGATTTGGTGGTGGGAAGTTTGGGGAGCTGCCACAGGACGGCTTCTCCGATTTCTAAAAGGAGGAGGAGAAGCGATCCACTAGAAGGTGGGAGGATGGGAGGTGTGCAGAATGGAGGGTAGAAATAGCCACGGGGGAGGGCTGGAAAACAAGTGGACTAGAAAGAGCTGGCAGGAACGCTGGGCACTGTTAAAGACCCAGCTGAGGCTGGTGATCATTAATTCATAGCGGAACCGACTTGTCCAGCATGTGACTCTCTGTAGCAATGGCCAGCAGTCTGGGAGGCAGGGAAAGAAAAGGCAGATCATTGGGCTCATTTGCTGCTGTGACTTTGCTAGTTGGGCACAACCAAATGGTAAAAGGATTAAAGTGTAGAGTATTGGCAACAGAGGCAGAAATAATTGCCATCTCTCAATGGAAATTAAATGATGGCTTTTTAATTTTAAAAAGGGTCAACGTACCATAGGGGCCAATGAGGCTAAGGATGGTATCATGGAAAGAATGTTCATGTCCCTTTCGAATTTACCTATTAAAGCCCTACCCCTCAATATGATGGTATTTGGTGATGGGGCCATTGGCAGGTAAGTAAGATTGCATTAGGTCAGGAGGGTGGGACCCTCAGGATGGAATTAGCAGCCTCATAAATAGAGGATGAGATGTCAGATGTGACTGCGCACGCCTGAAGTCCCAGCTATTCAGGAGGCTAAGGCAGAGCCCAGGAGTTCTGGTCCAGCAGAGAGAAATCCTTTCTCCCTCCACGTGTGTGCACTGAGTAAAGGTCATGTGAGGCACAGAGAGACCAGGCCATCTGAAGCCAGGGAGGAGGGAGAGGGCCCTCACCAGAACCTGACCGTGCCGGCACCTGATCTTGGACTTCCAGCTTCCAGAATTGTGAAAAAAAAAATTAATTTCTGTTTTTCAGCCACCCAGTCAGTGGTATTTCATTATGGGGGGCCCAACTGACTAAGACAAATGAGCCAGAAGGATAGGATGCTGGAGTCAGAGCATGAGGAGTCAGTTAGAGATTCATTCATCTATGCACTCATATGCCAGAAATTCTTGAGATTTTGGAGGTAGAGATGGATTTCCCTAAGCTGATGGCAGGGTTGGAGTGGAAAAGACAACTATGAGACAGGTAGCGGAGTTCTGGATGGATGAGGCTGTGATCTGGAGGCCAAGAGGTGGGAGCCAGGAAGAGAGACAGGTTTCCATGACAGGAGGTGTCACAAGTGGGAGGGATAGTGGTTGAGAAGCTGTAATGGTGGGGAGCAGCCTCCCCATCACCCTCTCTCCTGTGTGAGAGAGGAAGAGGCAGGAGGTAGAGCACCTTCCAAGCAGTGCTGAGGACATGGGTGCCCCTGCCGGCATTGGAGCCACTGTTCCAGTGACACAGGGTATCGCCTGTGGTGGAAGTGGCTGAGATGGGGGATAGGTCAGTGTTGCTGGAGTCAGTGGGGACTGTGTCAATGCAGAAGAGCAGCTGGCTGGGGAAGTGTGGGGGCATCTTAGACTTTAGAATTGAAGTAGAGAACGCAGATGCACAGTACAGTGGTCTTCATCTCAGAGGGCCCTGAAGGAGGTGGCCACTGGGCTGCTCTTGGGGAGAGCCAAGGGAGCCCCAGGGCCAAGCTCTTTACCCAGGACACAGGCCAAGAAAGCAGCCAATCAAAGGGCTTTCCTCCAAACCTGCTCTCAGATCCAGCCACTCCCCGGTTCCACTGCCGCCAGCCCACTTTGTCGTCAGAATGTTGTGAGGATAAAATAAGGTAATAAATGCTTGCTATTAATTAATTTTATCATTGTAATTATGTCCTGCCTGGTTCATCTGCTTCTACTTTCACCCTCCTCCAACACATTCTTCAGATAGAGAGTGATTTTTAAAATACAAATCTATGGCTGGGCACAGTGGCTCACACCTGGAATCCCAGTACTTTGGGAGGCCCAGGCAGGAGGATCCCTTGAGCCCAGGAGTTTCAGACACGCCTGGGCAACATAGCATCTCTGTCTCTAAGAAAAATTAAAAATTAAAAAACATACAAATCTTAATGGACTTGCTTAAAGAAAAAAGAAAAGCAGTGGCTTTATTGTCCTCAAAACAAAGTCCAAAATTAAGGCTATGGTCTCACAAGCCCCACCTGTGTCTGATTCCTCAAACTCCCAGGATTCCTTCCAGCTGCAGCACCTGCCCACTGCTGGTCATCACCTCAAAAGCTCTTCTGCACCCCCTGCCCACCTTCTCTTCACCTGGTCTCTGGTTCTGTTCTTAGATGCCTGTCCTCAGGGGGGCTTTCTGCCCCCATACACTGGGTCAGCTGCCTTGTTTAACACAACAATGTCCTCTCCTCTTCATGTATGGCACTTCTCCCAAAGTTCTGCAGAGCAGTTTGATGGCTACAGAAGAAGTGTGCATCTTTGGGTCCAGCATGCAGGGCACGGGATGTGGGATCTCCCTGGCAGATCGGTGGGCCCATGAACACGTAAGCGAGTGAGCCACAGCCCAGGAGAGCATGAGCCAGGACCAAGCTTGAAGATAGCCTTGTTCTGTGTCTGGCAGTGAGCTGGGGGTTGTTGGGGTTTGGGTGCAGGTTGGCATGCCTCTCCTATCTTCTTTGAACTTGGGGGCAGATTGCTGGACCCCTTTGCCTTTTATCCTCAGCCAGAGCACATGAGATTAGAATTATCATGGATCCATGTAAAGGGAATTATGAAATCATCCATTCTAACATGGAAAGGCTAAGGCCCAGAGTAGGAGGGCTCCCGCCCACAAGGCCTGAAATCTGAGTCCTCCACCGACCCCACAAAGCTAACCATAGCACTGAGTAATGGGTCCACTGCTAGCAGGTCCCTCAGATCCGGGCTGTTCTGTGTTCTGTAACACCCTCTGGGGGATGGTGGTTCAATATGTGCCGGCCACTGCCTGGCCCAGTAAGGCCCCTTTTCTGTTGTGCTTCTCAGAGTACAGTCAAGATCAGGCTGCATATCTTCTCCTTTGGGGTCCCAGAGGCCTCAGCAGCCGACCTCTCATCAGTGACTGCTAAAGGACACTTACCTATTCATCAGCGCAAACCACAGGACACTTTTAAATACACACAGAAAAAAAAATCTTTCTCCCCAACCAACCATAATCCCCCCAAAAAGAAAAGAAAAAGTCTCCAGGGGCCAGGCGCAGTGGCTTATGCCTGTAATTCCAATACTTTGGGAGGCCGAGGTGGGCGGATCACGAGGTCAGGAGCCCGGCCAACATGGCAAAACCCCATCTCTACCAAAAATACAAAAATTAGCCAGACTTGGCCGTTCCGATCTCTTGCTGGGAATGACAATCATTCTGTCTTGAAGGGAGCAAGTGTCCACATCTTAGAGGGGGAAACTGCCTTTAGCTGGGAAACAGCCCTTTCCCCACTTCTATCTGGTTTTCCCCACTCCTTGGCAGTTTCAGCCTGGGAGACATATTGTGCCCAGAAAGACTTGCTAGTATTCCCCAAGAGGACGCCATGAATGGGCACACAGTAGGAAGCTAAATAGAGCTTTTGTCCAGCACTTCAAAGCTGAGAACCATGAGTGAGAAATATCCATGTGTTTGGAAGAGAGGTGCTGGACACTTCCATGCTGAGTTTACAGGAAACTGGTCCAGCACCTACACCCAACCCCGACCCAGCCATGTAGGAGAAGGTGAGCAAGCATGAGGGGCTGGGGCGCCTGTGAGAAGAGAGACTGGATCCTTCTCCCTAGTGGGAGGTTAGCTGGGGCAAGGCGGGGGCAGTGGCCAGGCAAGCTCTTTTTCTACCATTTGGTGACACAATTATATATGGTGTTCTTGTGGGCTAAGGAGGTGCTGAAGAAGGCAGTCTGGCTTGAGGTCTCTTTATGGGCACCCATCCAAGAAGGCCATTTTTTTTTTTTTTGAGACAGAGTCTCTTTCTGTTGCCCAGGCTGGAGTGCAGTGGTGCAATTTCAGCTCACTGCAAACTCTGCCTCCACGGTTCAAGCGATTCTCCCGCCTCAGCCTCCTGAGTAGCTGGGATTACAGGCATGCACCACCACATCGGGCTAATTTTTGTATTTTTAGTAGAGACAGGGTTTTGCCATGCTGGCCAGGCTGGTCTCAAATTCCTGACCTGAGGTAATCTGCCCGCCTCAGACTCCCAAAGTGTGTGAACCACCACACCCAGCCAAGAAGGCCATCTTCTAAGGGGCTTCCAGCTGTAGGAGAGGTTGTGGGAGCAATGCTGGGTGGGGCTGGAGAAGGGTCCCAAGAGGAGCTGGGAGTGCATTGGGAGCATATTGCTCATTCTAAGGAATAATACCAAGGCCTGAGAGGATCTCTGAGAAGCCCATGAAGATGCCCTGTGGAAAAGGCAGCTTTCAGAAGCCTGACAAAATGCACCAACTGGCATTAGCCAATGTGCACCACAAAGAACTGCAACCAGCAGCAGCTCGGTGAAAAGACCTCTGCCCTTTCTCTCACCCTGCATGGGCCCTGGAAGGTCCAGAAGCAGCTGAGCATGAGCAGGAGCAGGCAGGGTAAGTGGGGGAGCAGAACAAACCTCCTCTCCTTCCCCAAGCTGGTCCCTGAGCCACACATAGGTTAGGCATGAGCTGAGTGTGGAGGGGGAGGGTTGGGCGATCTTTGAAGTGAATCCACGGTAGAAATTTTGATTTAGGCTGAACTGAAATCTTCTCTCTGTACAACCCAGTGACCTATGGGGCCATACCTTAGCCAGAGGGATCTGATCCATCCCTTAGAAGGAATCATAACCTTCCCTTTTTCCACAGCCTTTCTATCCACCTGCCTGGGTAGAGTCCACAACTTCACATTTGTTTCCTCTCCCCTCCTGTCCCCACAACTTGGAAAGGGCTTACCTTGTGTTCTGTTCTGAGCATCACTGTGTTTTGAGGGCAGGGGACTCCAGATTGAGGAGATCAAGAGAGCCATACCCCGTGAAGATTGTTAGAAGACAAGTTAAGCCCAAGACATACCCAAGATCCTAACCCAGACAGAGTATTGGGGGCGGGGCTCCAGAGATGAGAAACGCGAAGGAGGCCGAGAAGTCCTGTCCCAGATACCTCCGGGATTGGGCTCAGCAGGAGGTGACAGCCATGGGCCAGGTTGTGGTGTGCTGCCTCCATAAGCAAAGCTGGTCTTGCCCTGTGTCCCTGTGGGTCCTGGCCATATCCAACGAGATGTTTAGGCAGCTCCCTGATGCTGACAGTCCAGCTCTTAGAGACCTCAATCAGAAGTATGTACTGCTCACAAAGGTCACTCCTGGGCTGGAAGTTCTTCCTGTGGCTTCTGTTTCCTTCTCTGAGGGCACTGATTTGGGGGACCTAGAGGGAACAGAAGACTGTCATTGGTTGTCCAGGAATTGGTCCCATGACAGTGTCCCTCACCACCCCCCTTCTCAAGGTAAGGGGAATCTGAACTAAAGCCAGCCAGATGTCTGTGGTTCTGGAGGACCTCATATTAGCCTCTAGGCAACAGTGGACAAGTGATGAGGTGGAGGCCTGGGCATACAGTGTGCGTGGCCAATGTGAGACCCAGGTCGTGGTTTCAGAGCAAGCAAGCAGCTCACCGTGGGTGAGGCCCCAGCTCCAGGTCCTGGAGGGTGTCTTTCAGGGCCTGGCCACGCGTCTCTGGCAGCAGGGTGCAGAGCAGGCCGGCCACAATGGGGAGGCTGCCGTAGATGAGCATGGGGAGGGCAGCGTGGTACTCTCCCAGCAGGATCACTAGTGGTGCGAGGATGCCCCCAATCCGTGAGAAGATGCCCACCAGCCCCATGCCTGTTTGCCTGGGAGAAGACCAGGGCAAGCTAAGTAGACCTGGGCCCAACTCTGGGCCTCAGCTTCACCCCAGTATATTTTCTCGGGAGAGCCCAGACCCCAAAGGTCTGCAGGGTCTCCAGCCTCACCCACCCCATTCAGCGCTCCTGCTCTCTGCTCCTGCCTCCAGCTCCTGCTCTCTGCCTGCTACACCCCTGCTCGTCTGTCAACTCTCAAGTCAGGAGGCTGTACATCCTTACCACCCTCCCACCTGAAGACATCCTTCTCTGGGGCCATTCATTCTTAGATGTGTCCCATATTCCTGTCCCGACCGCCAGGGTGTGGCCTGCTTGCCTGTCTGTCCTCCATTATCCTGGGGACAGCTTGAGGGCTTGGTCTAGATTTCTAGTTGTCCTGGACCCCGCCCAGCACTGCTGCCCCAGAGCCAGCCCTGTCAGCTATTTGTGGAATGGGGTGAGGGCCGAGGAGGGACAGCCAAATCAGTCTCAGCAGCAGAGGAGCAGGAGTCACACTGCAGCTCTTACCGGAGGATGGTGGGGAAAAGCTCGGCAGAGTACACATAGGAGATGGTAAAGGCGGCAGCTGTGGCCATCTTCGCCACCACAGCCAGCACAGTGACCACCACAGGCAGATCTGGCAGAGGGTAGACAGTCCCATCACCTGGGCCCTGCCGCCGGCCCCATCCACTGAAGCTCCCCACCCCTTCTGTACCCAAACCCCCGGGAAGCCTTTACTCCTGGAAGCGGAACAATGGCCACTGGTCTAGCCCCTGACAGCCGGTGGGTGAGGGGGAATGGGGTGGTACCTGCTGGGATGAAGATGATGATGATATACATAAAGCCACCCAAGACCAAGGTCCCCAGCTGGCTCCACTTGCGGCCAAACCTCTGCATCATGAAGATGCTGGAACAGCGGGCAGGCACCTCAACAGCTCCAAAGATGAGCTGCGTCAGATAGATGTCCAGGCCAAAGTCCCCCACTTGGAGGCTCAGGCCGTAGTACCCCAGACTGTCCACAAACCTACAAGGTAACGAAGGGCTCTTGTCGCTGCTGGGCGACGAGACACCACCCAGAGGGAGAGCCTGCCTTGGTCAGCAGTCACAGCAGGGGACACTGGCACAGCCAAGGAGAGACCACCCTATCCAGACAGCCACCAGCCCACCTCTCTGACAACACACACCAAGGAGGCTGCAGCCCTGTGGTTCTGTCCTTGGGCTCTGGGCACTCACCAGACACAGAAGATAATCAGAGTCACCTTCCGGAGCTGGGGGTGTCTGAACAGATCCAGGGCATTCCCTGAGGGGCCTGTCTTCTCTGGGACCAGCTGGGAGGAAGAAGCAGAGTGAGAGGCCAGGCAGGAAGGTCCACGTGGGTCTGATTCTGGGCCTGGGCCTGCTGGAAGTACCTGGTTCATGAGCTCCGGAGAGAGTTTCCGCCTGTTGACCGAGGCTGCCCTCTGAATCAGTTGTTTCGCCTCGTCCATCCTCCCATGGGTCAGGAGCCACCGTGCAGATTCTGGCAGAGCCCTGTGGGTCAGCAATAGCTATGACCTTGGGGCCTGGAGTCCTAGGGAGCTTTCTGGCTTGTTTCAGTGCAAACTGAACCCCACACCCAGCTGTAACAGGCTTCCTCTCCCAGACTCGCCTCTGACTGTCCCGTGAACGTGGGCGCTGCACTCCAATCCCACCACAACACAACCAACTTGGGGGGGACTTGCTCCTGGCATGTATTTTCCTCACCAGAAGTAGAAGAAGAGCAGTAAGCCAGGTGCGGTGCCAGTGATCTGAAGGAGCCTCCAGTTGCGGAAACCATAGGCGAGTCCCGCGAGCACCATCTGCCCAAGGGAGTAGGTGCACTGGGCCAGGACCACGGCCTGCGTCCTCCATGTGGGCCCCACCCACTCCGTCACTGTGGGAATGGAGAGGTTGAGACAGGGCTAATCCCTGCCATTCATTCCCCATTACTCCCAGGTGCCACTCTGTGGGGGCTGGGCCTCAGGACCAACACAGGAAGCACCACTTCAGTGCGACCACTTCAGATGTGGGGTACCTGACAAGACCTCCACAGGCCATTTGGGGCCGTGGCCCTCCCAGACCCCTGGGCCTCACCCTGTGACTGAAGGCTCCAAGGACCAGACACTCACGTAGGGTGACATTGCTGAAGGCAAATCCAGCGATGGCAGTAGCCACAGCAAAGCGCAGGGCCATGTAGAGCTCAAAGCTGGGCACAAAGGCTGTGACCAGGCCAATGAGGGTGAAGAGGAGCAGCTGCACCAGGATCGTGGCCTTGCGGCCAATCCTGAGGAAACAGGGCAGGTCCATGGGAAGTGTCCCTCCTGGAAGGCATCTGAGGAGAAGGCTGCAAGGGGGCCCAGCCCTGTCCTGGGGTCTCTTTCTGAGGGAGGAGACACGGCCCTTCCCTGAGCCCCATTTGAGGGTAGGGGGAGAAGGGCCTTGCCCTAAAGGCCAGTGTGAGGGGCATAAGGGTGACTTGGGCCTGTGCCAGAGCTGACGAGCTTGCTAGGCAGGAAGTGGGCAGGGCAAGGTTCTTACCGGTCCCAGAGGGGCCCAAACATGAGGGTGCCAACAAGGAGCCCAGCCATGAACACTGACTGTGTGGTGTCCTTCAGATGCTTCCGATCACAAACCAGGTTGAACTGAAGGAGACACAGGCAGATGTGAGTCCAGGGGCTGCACGGGGGGCAAGCCCTACACCACCTGGCCCACTACAAACCCTTCAGCGAAGGAGCTCATGGTTCCCCAACTGTGTACTGAGGCATTCCGGGGCACCATGGTGAACTCACTGAGCATGGCAGGGCATTTCAGGTTGTAAAGGGAAATACAAGTTGACATCTCTCTGACATCACACAAACTACTAGCTCAGGATAGTTCACACTTTCAACGTGAGACTACGCTACTTTCCTTCCAATGATATCATATCTATGTGAAATCTGACATCATATCTATAGGAAAGTGCTTTTGGCAGTTTTTGTGAAAGCAAATGCCACAGAAAATCAATGTGGAAGAGAAAGTGAGGGCGGCAGTGTTCAAGGACTGAGAAGTTGTACAATGCCCAGTAAGTGCATACAGCCTATCAGTAAGTTATTGTGTTTAAGAATAAAATTAAAATATTTTTTCCATCAACGTATGTATTTATTCCAAAAAATAACTACTAAGTTGTTACGACATAAACACTTGTTTGAACTTAATGGCTTAATACATATAGCTGTTAGGCATTTCTTTTGGCCTGGAGATGCCATGTAAAATTATTGACACACTAAAGATGAAATTTTGGGACCCCGTGACAGACCATTAACTGCTGCTTCCTAACAAATGGGGCCGCTTCCCCATAGCCAGGGCACCCCTAGGACACACGTGGGCCTTTCCATGTTTTTCCACCTGGCTGCAAAATCCCCCTGAAATACCCACCATTAACAGGCAATCAGAATCCTAAGAAGCCCTCACACATGCCTTGAGGAAGGCGATTAGATCAGAGGAACACACGCATATACACATGCACACACAGAGGGAGGGAGGGAGTGAGAGAATGTGCAGGTGTGAGACAGAGAGAGACACAGAGAATGCTAATCCACCCAAGATCTATAGAGAGAATCCCACAGCCTAAGAAACCAAGAGGAGAAGATATTTAGGTCCATACCACTCTGTACGCATGTCTGCTGAATGTGCACTTGACTCACTTGACTGACCCCCATCCCGCTGGGTTGTGGGCCCCTCAGGGAGTCCCGCCACGCCTCTTGCACACAGCTCAGTTCCACACACAAATGTTTGTTGGGGAACCATCATGCGAGCTCTCCTCCAGCTTCCCAGCAGCAACCTCTAAGCGCTCACCCTGTGCTAGGTGCTTGCTAAATGCTTTACATGCATGATCTCACAGAATTCTAATAATAATCCTTCACTTATCATCTTCCTGAGAAAGGAAATGTTAAGCAGCTAACCCTCGGTCCCACAGCTGGATGGCAGCTGGTGGAGTTGAGATATCTCTCTTGCCCTAGACAGGGAATGAATCTGAGTAAAGGCTAAGAGGATGTCTGCTGAATGAATGAATAAATGAAGAAATAAACTAATGCCTACAGCTAGCTAATTAACCAATCACCATCAGTTAAATAACTTTTAGCAAGAAATTAACCAGTCCAGGAGTTACTGTTGTGCTCATACTTCTGTTCTCAAGGACAACTGTTAATTCTCAAGAACCTTCAACATGTATCAAGTGATGAACTGATCGTTCCTGGGAATGAAGTGGGGAAGGACAGGGGACTTGAAATTGTTGCTCCAGCCAGTTCTATCCTGTTTAGTTTTTGTCTAGCAGCCACAGATTGCCTTTTAGTAAGATGGCATTTAAAATAACTAGTAATAAAGGCCTACTGTTGCCAGGCTCAGGAGTCAGAATTGAGTGGCTTTGTGTCACCTTAACCCTGTTAGCCCATCTGTCTGTGTCTTGATTTCCCACTTACAAAATGTGAATAAAATATGCTACATAGTATGACCTGATACAGTGAAAGGAACTAACACTTGTAACATGGTTAGCTCAGTGGCTGTGTCACAGGAAGCTCTCAGCACCTGTTATCTAGGGTGAGGCTGTGCTTTGGCCTCTGTGCTCACAGAGCTCTCAGCTGGTGGCAGACAGCTCAGACACAAGGGGGTGAAGTGCTCTCTGGGCACGAGCGCCAAGCCACGGAGTCTTCTAAGGCTGGCACGCCTGGTCAACAGCCACCATTCACTACCTCTCTTCAGTTTATATACCTGCTATGGCATTAAATCCTCATTCTAACCCCATAATGGCTTATCACTCCCTTTGTGCAGCAGCAGAGGCTGAGGCTTGGAGAGGCGCCGAGATGTGCCCAAGCTCTCATGGTGTTATCATGTTGCAGGTGGTAGAGATGAAGAGGGCTCCAACTTGGGATGCCAGTCATCCTCCTCAGCCCTAACTCCCACAGTGGATGGTTCTGTCTGCAGTCTGCCATGGTGGTCTGCAGAATCCCACCCTCATTTCTTGGAGCCTCCCCAGCCTGGATCCCTCCCCTATTCTAAAACCTTCAACAGCTCCCTTTGGTCTCTAGGAGAAAGCCCAAATTCCTTAGCACTGTATCTAAGGCCCTGAAGAGCTAGCTGTTGCCTATTTCCCAGCCTCTTTTGCTATGTCAGCATTCCTAAATATGCCAGGCATTTTCAAGCCTCCAGAACTCAGAAATGGTTGTTCTCTCCGCTTCCCCTTCCCTCCTATTCCTACTTCTTTGGTCCCAGGACAGATCACATGATTGTTGCTATTCACTGATGGTCTTCCCACCTTCCCATTCCAAGATCCATGTAGACAGGGGAGTCATTTTTTTCTTCTCTTTTTTCTTTTCTTTTTTTTTTTTTGAGAAAGCATCTCCCCAGGCTGGAGTGCAGTGGCATGAATATGGCTCACTACCAGCTCAAACGATCGTCCCACTTCAGCCTCTGGAGTAGCTGAGACTATAGGTATGTGCCATCATGTCTGGCTGATTATTTTATTTTTTGTAGAGATGAGGTCTCACTATATTGCCCAGGCTGGTCTCGAACTCCTGGGCTCAAGTGATCCTCCTGCCTCAGCCTCCCAAAGTGTTGGGATTACAGGCACGAGCCACTACACCCAGCCCATTTTTTTTTTCTTTTACCAAGGATGGACACGCAGGAAATGTAGGTTGAAAGGAGAAACATTCTGACCTTCAAGAGCACACAGCCTTCATGGAAATATACTTTTTTCTTTTCAAATTACTATTGTTTGCATTTAAGTTTAAATATGAAGTCATCATTTATAATAAGGAAGCTTAGGTGTCAGAGAGAGTCCTCTGGGTCAATGGGCAGAACCTTCCTCATGGATGAAAACCAGAGATAGAAGATCTCACACCAAGCTGACTGCATTCTGGAACCAAGCTTGGGATTATCATGTGGTTCAGGGCACAAAGCGTACATTTCCTTGGGAGTCACAGTCTTTGGAAGAGTAGGGGTGAGGATAGCGTGATAGGGTAGGGCAAGAGGCCCAAGGTCCACCACAATGCCAGCATTGTCTAGGAGAGAGGTCCTGAGTGCCGCCATGCCCCAGGGAGAGGCTGAGGTCAACATCGAGTTTGAAATATTTAAAGTAAATACAAAACTATTTCAGCAATGCAGATCATTAAGTGTGCTGTTGTGAGCAATGATGCCATTGGTAAAACAGATCTACCGATATCCTACATAACAAACAAATTTATATCTGAAAATATACCAACTATTTCTAACAACTATGCAGTTATGGTTATGGTTGGTGGAGAGTCATATGCTCTTGGACTTTTTGACGCTTCTGGGCAAGAGGGTTATAAAAGATTACAATTGCTAAGTATCCACAAACAGATGTTTTTCTAGTCAGTTTTTCAGTGGTATCTCCGTCCTCATTCAAAAATGTGAAAGAAAAGTGGTTGCCTCTTCTAACTCACCACTGTCCAAAGATTCCTTTCTTGTCAAGACCCAAATTCATCTCACAGATGAGCCCTCTACTCTTGTGAAACTTGCCAAGAACAAAAAATGGAAGCCTATCACTCCAGACTGGCCTCGGACTGGAAGGCTGTTGAGTACGTGGAGCATTCTGCACTCACAGAGAAGGGCCTAAAGAATGCAGTTAATCAAGCCTCCAGAGCCAAAGAAGAGCCTCAGGGGTGTGCTGCTATGAACAGCTCTCCGGAGCCCTTTCAGCTCAGCTTGTGTCGCCATCTTTCAGCTCAGCTTGTGTCGCCATCACAGTAAAAGCAAGGTTTAAGTCAAACTAAGGATTAAAAATTAGGGCGGGCACGGTGGCTCACGCCTGTAATCCCAGCACTTTGCGAGGCTGAGGTGGGTGGATCACCTGAGGTCAGGAGTTCAAGACCACCCTGGCCAACATGGCAAAACCCCATCCCTACTAAAAATACAAAACTTAGCCGGGTGTGGTGGTGCATGCCTGTAATCCCAGCTACTTGGGAGGCTGAGGTAGGAGAATCACTTGAACCCAGGAGGCGGAGGTTGCAGTGAGCCCAGATTTCACCACTGCACTCCAGCCTGGGTGACAGAGCAAGATCCTGTCTCCAAAAAAAAAGAGAAAAAAATTGAAGTTCATTCTCTGCAATAATGCCAAATGCCTAATCCTACCAACATATACTCTTGCAAGACAAGGCTCATGGGTATGGTTCCCCCTCCCCATCCCAATACTAGTTACTTAAGTCACTGTTTATTGTCAGAAAAGTGATCAGTACTCGTTTGTTTTGTTGCTTCAAAAAAATTTTTTGCTTGCATAAAAGCAAGGCATGTTTGTGATGACTCTCTAGCACACTAATGCCAATTGTTAAGCTGCTCCTTGGTTCCCCTCAAGAGTAATGTGGGACCTCTTAGTGCTGTTTTTTTTTCTTGTTTTTGTTTGTTTGTTTGTTTTTTGCAGGTGTTTGTGTGTGAGGAGTTTATTTTTGAGTCTTTTAAAAAATTTATTCACCAGTGGACAGTCCTTAAGGGGAGGAGGACAGATTGATTCTACATTCCACCTCCTAGATCTAGTTTAGAAAACACATTCCCCACCTGCCTCGTTCCATAACACAGTCCTTTCTGAAAGCTGCCTTTTCTCTCCACCCTTGGGTGTTTGATGAAACTCACGAATGTGGGTAGAGTCTGTCTTGCCCTTCCTCATTTCTTGCACTATACATGTGACTGTGACTTTTGAGAAAATGTGCTATTTGCTGATTTATTTTTTGAAGTTAATTTCCAACTTCTTTCACTGATAAATGAAGGGAAGTATTGCACCTTTTGAAATACACTAAATGGAGTGAGTTCATAATCTGACAAAAGAGTCTTTCCTGTCATTCTCTCATAAGCTTAGCATAAATGTGCAGCTTAAGAGTGTGTGACATGGTGTTCCCAGAATGCAGCTGAAGACCCAGCATGTAGAAGAAATGTGAGGGTGATGGTATCGATAAGACAGATGTCTATGGAATGATAACACACTCTTTCAAGTTATGCAGGTCTGCTTCATCGAGGAGCTGAGGTTGGAGAAGGAGTGGGGAGAACACTTAAGAACATGGGAACCAGTCAAGGGACTCCCCTTGTTTCTGTTTTGCATTTGAGGAACCTTCCAACAGAGAAAATGGAGGCTCTCTAGTTTACCAGATGTCATGAATGAAGGCTCTTCCTAAGTGTTAACAGGGATGTTATCGGCTTATTTTGGTTGCAGTTCCCAATTGCTAAAAATGTTTAGGTAACTTTTTTCCACCTTCTGCAAATCCTAATTATCACCTTAGTGTCAACTAATGCTTTCTCACATGATAATTCTTTGTGTATGCATTCTTTTCAGATGTGTCAAACAATAACCAAAGAAAAGAGGTCCCAAATCCTTGAAAACATCCATCTAATTCTATACTCCTGCCCCTCCACCCTGACCCCATTGCAGGCACAGTCACTGCTCCCCAGACATCCTGCCTGCTTCCTGCTGCCAGGCCTTTTCTGTGCTATTCTTATTCTCTGCCTGCAAAGGCCTTCCCCTCTTCTCTAGCAACATTTTTCTAGTATCCTGGTGCCTAGTTCACACATATCACCTCCTTCAGAAAGTTGCCTCCCCATTCCTCCCAACCAGGAGGAAGCAAATTCTGGGCCTTAGAACCCACCCAGCCCTTTATTCCTCTGCAAGGGGCCCAGACCTTTCCTGACCACTAGAGAAATAAAGTACCTTTCCCCTCTGACTTCCCTGCACAGTTAATTCTCAGGGGGCTTTGGCTGAATACGGTTGCATGAACAGTCCAACATGGGATGTGAACAAGGCCTAGAGTAGTCTGTGAGCAATCTGGAAGGTTTTCTGGGCTTTGAGAATGATGATATTTGGCCAGGTGGGCAGAGAGTTTAACACATATAGGCATACCACAACACGTTAGGGCTGGTGAAGGCTGGGACTGGCCATGGATATGATGCTGGGGAGATGATGGAGAGGACAGTAGGCGTCAGAAGGGGCTAGGCGGACCAGTCCCAGAGCCCGGGAGCATGCATAGGCTCCCTAGAGCTCCCTGTGGGGTGGAGTGGGGTGGAGTGGGGGAGAGTCGGGAGAAGGACAGGCAGGACATATCCGCAGGCTATCAGGCTTCTGGGAGCAGCTTTATGGTCACATATTAAAAAGTGAAAGTTAAACTTTGGTTAACACATTGGTCTCTGAAAACCTCTAAAAATAAATACTTTTTCAGCCATGGGGTGGGGGAGAAGTGAATGTTTAATCCCAGATTTTCCACCATAAAGAAGATGAGAATTATATAGATCCCCTCAAGCACCCATGCCCCTCAGGTTTCTGGACTCTCTGTGCTGCCTCCCACTCCTGTGGGAATCTAGACAGCAGGTGTCTGGCATGAGAGCCCCAGCTCCATGATCAATTCACTGCATTGCCCTGGCTAAGCCGTCTCCTCATTCTGTGCCTCAGCCCCACCATCTGGGAAGCAACAGAGTGGGACTGGATGCTTTCAGAGGGCCCCTCCTGCTCAGAGGTGGCTAGGGTGGGAAGTTTTCTGCCTGTATCTCTCCTAAAAGAAGGAAGTTAGCAAGAATGAATGCTTAGTTATCCACAGGACAAGTCCTAGAGTCCTGGATGTTCTCCAGCGTCCCAAAGGCAGGCTGGCAGAGATCTAGAGAGAAAAACTGAACGGTGTGAAGCCCAGCAAGCAGGCAGGCAGTGAAATGGACAGGGAAAGTGATGGCATTAGAGAGTTAGGAACTAACAGGAACGTAGGCAGACATGCAGGGACAGACTGAAAGACAAAGAGAACTGGACAGACAGATGAGAACACTGGGTAGAGAGAAAGGCACAAAGACGGGAAAACAGGAGAGGACACTAACTGGGTAGATAGCCAGAGAGACAAGGAAAGAGAGGGACAACAAAAGGATGGGCAAAAATGGGCAGATGGGCAGACAGACTGGACAGAGAAGATGACAGGCAAATGGGTCAATAGGCAGAGGACAAAGAGGAAAATGAGATTGACAAAATGAAAAACATATGTGCCCATGGTTGACCATATGGGCATGGGGCAGATACAGAGCCAGTGACTGAGGGTAAAGAGTCAGGCACAAGACCCGACAGACCCACAACTGGTGGAGAGACCAGCAAAAGGAAAAGCCTACCTCATTCTTTAGGGATGGGAGCCTGTTCTCAGGATATTCCCAGCCCATATCACAAGGCTGCGTCTCATTGAAGTGGTGGCTGAGGATATCCTGCAGGCTGGCATTGGCAGCGGGTGGCCGGAACATGAGGCAGGGCTCTGGGTGGCCTGCAGTGTCCAGGGGCACGCTCAGTGCCAGCTGTTCAGCAGCACTCAGGTTGAAAGTGTGGTTCTTCACCCAGGCCACTGCACAGTGGTGGGGCTCATCTAGGACCATGAAGACATGGGCAAAAAAGTAGAAGGGAGACAGGAAGTTGAGAACACACAGCAGTATCAATAGTTGTATCTGGAAGCGACCAAAGTCACCTATTTCAGCTAGGACCTGGACAAATTGAGCCATGTCTGCCACTCACCACCTCCTCAGCCTGGGGATACCAGGGTAGCTCTGCAGCTTGGCTCTGGGAACTTGCTCCTCTGGGCAGTGGTGACAGCTGCATTAATGTTTAATCCAGCCTTGCCCTGCTCCACCTGTCACTCCTCAGCCCCCTAGGTGTGACCTGGGAAGGGTAGAGTATGATGAAAAAATAGTCCACATGGATGAAGCTGGAAACCATTATCCAAATTAACACAGGAACAGAAAACCAAACACCACATGTTCTCACTCATAAGTGGGAGTTGAACAATGAGAACACATGGACACAGGGAGGGGAACATCACACACTGGGGCCTGTCGGGGGGTGGGGGACAAGGGGAGGGAGAGCATTAGGACAAATATCTAATGCATGTAGGGCTTAAAACCTAGATGATGGGTTGATGGGTGCAACAAACCACCATGGCACATGTATACCTATGTAACAAGCCTGCACGTTCAGCACATGTATCCCAGAACTTAAATTAAAATTTAAAAAAATAGAAAAATAAATAGTCCACTCCAGCCCACACCACCTCTAATTGCAACATCCTAAACAATTCACACTCAGCTCAAATGAAACAGGTAGATGGGTCAATCAATAGGCAGAGGTAAAACCACTACAGTAAAACGCTGACAGTAGTTGCAGCACTCGGACACAGAATTCCCTTCTAGGGACAGCCCGCACTGGGCAGCATGGATAAGCAGGAGAGCAGCAAGCACCTAGCCTGCGGATAAACTTTGCCAGCAGCCCACTCTGGCCTCTGGATCCTGATGATTTTTCTCTCCTGTGGGTGTCTGGTATGTGGTGATATGCAATACCTGCCAATCCTAGGAGGCAGCATGCAGACCAGGAGCCCCACTAAAAGCACAAGTGCACTGCCTTTTCAACACCAAAGACAAACCAAGAATACAGAGCAATGACAGAGTTGCATTTTGAGCTCTGCTTTAATGAAGAAGGAAACCATTAACATAACTCTAAAGAGGAAAACAAATGCAAGTAGCCCAGCCTCCCTGAGCAATCTCAGTGACAATGAACACAGGACAAAGTATGCCTCCACCACAGCCCACACACACACCAGGTGCATACACATATACATGTCTGCTTGTGTATGCGTAAGAAAGCATTTTCATGTTCTGAATTTTGAACTATTTTAAGGGATAAGCAGAGGAACACCACTGAAGGGAATGCAAGGAAGCAATCTTATGCAGGGCAGCCCTGGCCACCTGACTGGCACAGCTGCTGGTAGCCTGTTAATCAGTCAGCCTGCAGTACAGGTCAAGACAGGGCAGACAGTGGAGGGCAGAAGCAAGGCCTGACATGCTGCTCAGGGAGCATGCTTTGCTCTTTGCCCCACCCCAAGCTCTCCCGCCAGGATCACCACTGTCCCCAGCTCTTTTTTCCTTCACTTAGCTTCCTTGAGTGTTCTTATTCTCAGCATTGTCTCTATTGAATAAACAGTTGCTACCAGTCGCCACTGCCTAGTCTGGTATTCCCCTTAAGGGAAAGAACTGAGGTGGAGACAAGCATTGTCCTCTGCCCTCATCATCTCCTCACTCCAGTCAGAAAAGGAATTTTTGCTTTGTTTGGCTCCAAGCAACCAAGGAAGCTAGAGCTAGGAGGTAGGAAACGGGAGCCCTGCCAGTGATTCACCCTGAGAATCTGTTCCTTCCTGGCTCTGGCCCTCAATTGCCCCATCTGGGTAAAGGATGGTCTCTAAAGATTCTTCCACTTCTTGGTGTACAGTTCTAAAGCAGAGAAAGAAAGAATCATTAGCAGACTCCTGACAAGAGTGAGGCCTGATCAAAGACCTCCCTAGAGTCAAGTCTCCAGCTGAACTATGATCCCCAAACCTTGGAACTGAGGCACCGAATGTCACTGGTCTCACGTTACCTCTACGTTCCCCAAATCCTAATGTTTTGCTTTACTTCTTCCTCCCCTTAACTTTGTCCTCCCTTCCTCCCCACCATGTCCTGTAAAGACTGCCAAAGGCTCTCTGTAATGCTTCAAGGCCCATGACCAGGTATCCTCTTTGAAGCTGTCTTCCTCATTTTCTTCTTTGTACCTGCCTTCATTCAAGGCCACAGCTAAGACCAAAGAGGGGTGTAACAAGAGTTTTCTAACCAGCCGAGCAGTTTTAAGTGGAATGAATACGCTCTCCATATGGGAAGTATCAGGAAGATCACTGGCAACCATGTCCAGGGAACAGAGGCAGGTGTCCGTGTGTGGGGTAGAGGGAGAGGGAAGTATTCCTCAAAGATCCCCTACAGGGATGGACTAGATGATGTCTCAAATCTTTTTCAAATTTGCAATTTAATGATTCTATTAAATAAAAAGTTGTGGTAAGACTTCTGGTTTCTGGTCTGGCACATAAGGAGCTTAGAAGTTGCCACTCCTTTTTAACAAGTAAAATGTTGAACAAACTGAAAAATGAGTAACTCTTCTTAGATCTGTCAGTGAAGTGAAGTCACAAGGCAAAAGACTGCCCCAAAAGTTAGAGACACACAGGTGAATACAGAGAATTACAATTTAGGCCAGGCGCAGTGGCTCATACCTGCAATCCCAGGACTTTGTGAGGCTGAGCGGGTAAGATCACTTGAGGTCAGGAGCTCGAGATCAGCCTGGCCAACATGGGGAAACCCTGTCTCTACTAAAAATACAAAAATTAGCTGGGCGTGGTGATGCATACCTGTAATCCCAGCTACTCAGGAGGCTGAGGTTCAAGAATTGCTTGAACCTGGGAGGCAGAGGTTGCTGTGAGCCAAGATCGCAACACTGCACTCCAGCCTGGGCAACAGACTGAGACTTCGTCTCAATAAAAAAAGAATTACAATTTACTGGACCAGAAATCCACAAGAAACCTCTGCAGGAACCAGTACCAGGATAAGAAAACCTGAATTGTAACTGACAAATTGCTGGAGACGCAATGTAGATTACTTTGAGAGTTAAGAACTCCAGAGAAAGGCCTCCATATTTCTGTGGCTTTTACTTCCAAGAGCTCTATTGGGTTCACACAGTGAATATCAGAGAACAATTCTCTTATGCTTCCAGCAGGGAGAGGCAAGTAACCATTTGAAATAAGCCAGAGTGTTCTGTTTTGTTTTGTTTTGTTTTTGAGACAGAGTCTGGCACTGTCGCTTGGACTGGAGTACAATGGCGCAATCTCGTCTCACTGCAATCTCCGCCCACCGGGTTCAAGCGATTCTCCTGCCTCAGCCTCCCGAGTAGCTGGGATTGCAGGTCCCTGCCACCACGCCCGGCTAATTTTTTGTACACTCTCCATATGGGAAGTATCAGGAAGATCACTGGCAACCATGTCCAGGGAGCAGAGGGAGGTGTCCGTGTGTGGGGTGGAGGGAGAGGGAAGTATTATTCCTCAAAGATCCCCTGCAGGGATGGACTAGATGATGTCTCAAGTCTTTTTCAAATTTGCAATTTAAAGAGAGGGTAGGAGACTGAGAAGCACTTGTAACACAGGCTCACTAAAAGACCGAGACCTAACCACAGGACCATAGACTGCTTTCCCTCTCCCCACAATTTACCACATCATTAAAGGCCTATTTACTGGAATTCCCTTTACCCAGTACACATCATGTCTAGCTTTCAACAACAGATTACAAGGCATACTAAAAGGCAAAAACACCGTTTGAAGAGACAGAGCAGAGATCAGAACCAGACTTAAATCTAGCAGTGTTTTGGAGCAGTGTTTTGCCCTGTGACTTCACTTCTTTGACAGATCTAAGAAGAGTTATTCACGTTGGAATTACCAGACTGGGAATTTAAAGCAACTATGATTGACATGCTCTTAGGAAAAACTCAATTTTTCCTCTGCTCTCACACCAACAAAATAATTAAAAACGAAGGCTTCTGTGACCTCCAAATATGTGGGAATTTCTCCCCACCAGCTAGGAAGCAATCAATTCTGTAGCCAACACCAGCTGGGTTTCTTCCAACTCAATTCCAACACTATCTACTTGCAGATAGCATCAGACCCCACAGGTTGAGGGCTAGGTCTCCAAGACTGGTGTTCCCACTTTCAGACACCAGTCACAAGTCTGGGCCTCTGGAACTTCTGACAGACCCACTTAAGGTGGGGTTCCCCTGACACCTCTTTGGGTTAATTTGCTAGAGCAGCTCACAGAACTCAAGAAAATGCTTATGTTTACCAATTTATTATAAACAATATTTAAAAGGATAGAAATAAACAACTAGATGAAGAGATACATAGGGTAGGGTCTGAAAGAGTCCCAAGCACAGGAACTTCTGTCCCTGTGGAATTGGGGTGCACCACCCCCCCAGCATGTGGATTTTTTTTTAAGACAGGGTCTTGCTGTGTTGCCCAGGCTGGAGTGCAGTGCACAATCATAGTTCATTGCAGCTTCATACTCCTGGGCTCCAACGATCCTCCCACCTCTGCTTCCTGAGGTCACTGGGATTACAAGTGTGTGCTACTGCACCTAGCTTCCTGCACATGGATGAATTATTGTTCACCTTCCCTGTCACCCTCCATGTGTTCAGCTCCCTAGAAGCCCCCGGTCCTGTCCTCTTGGGCTTTTTTGTGGAGACTTCATTCAATAGGCATGATATGAACAGAAGCATGGACAACCATGTCAAAATGTGATTGTACAAAAAGGGTATGATCTAAACCCAGCAAGCTCTGTCTGTTCAGATTCTTTTTGGCCACTCTGTGTAGCATTCCTTCCTCCAGGATATAGGGCAGGTCCCCCCTCTGGAATGAGGGCCTTTTATGACCCACAATCAGATTACAGTCCTGCCTTGGGCAGAGAAAAGGAGACTGGAGAAGGTAAGAAAGAGAGATTGTGTTTACTGTAACAAGGGTTTATGGGAGTTATGGGCCAGGAACTATGGACAAAACATACACACACATACACACACACACACATACATACACACCCCAAAGATGCTAAGGGCTCTAATGGAAAGTAGACAGCATACAAGAACAGATGGGCAATGTACGCAGAGAGATGAACATTCTAAGAAAGAACCAAATAGAAATGCTAGGGATCAAAAACACTGCAACAGAAATGAAGAATGCCTTTGATGGGCCTATTGGTAGACCGGACATGCCTGAGGAGAGAATCTCTGAGCTTGAGGATATCGCATAAAAACTGCCAAAACTGAAAAGCAACGAGAACAAAAACTGAAAGG